ATCAGAATGGACATCCACAAAGTGGGGAACGGCCTACAGGAAGAGTTGCATACAGAAAAGCACCCGCACAAATGCCAGGTGGCATGCAACACCTTTGTGGGAACTCCCTCGTGGGAAAATGTGCGGATTGGAAGACCAAATGGAAAACTGGTGCAGCACAGGATAATGAGGGTGACTCAGACCGAAGGACTGCTTCTTTACTCCATTGCCAGGTGACGACTGCCGAGCTCTAGTTCTCACGATAGGGGGCCTGCGTCAAGAGGCCTGGCAGTGGACCCAGGCCAGGCCTTGCCCATGCATCCAAGCAACTCACCCGTTTTCCTGTCTAGCTCCCCTCTCCCGGTAAGCCCACCACCTCCCACCCCATCTCTCCCCTGACCCCACTCCAGAGGGGCCACTCTTTCTGGTCCCTCCTCCCCTTTTCCAGCCCTACCCGGATCAGCCCTCGCCTTGCCCTATTTCCACCTGCTTGTGTTTCCCCCCTCCGCATACCCTCCTCTCACCTGCTTGTGTTTCCCCCCTCATCTCTCCCATCCTCTCCCCCCCGCCCCCTCTCCTCCCAGAAGGTCAGCCAGAAGAAATAACAAAGGTCTCCTTGCATCGGCGGCAACAGGGGAGGGAGCTCACAACCAGGAACCAGCAGAGGAGGAAGAGTCATGTGCTGACCTTGGAGATCAGGAGCAAATGATGATGGCAGAAAACACAGCTGATCGGTGAGATGACACCACCATCAGGCACAATATCTTCCTACACCCAAGAACAGGGGCCAGGGTGCAGAAAGCAGGAAGGAATTAAAACAACACTCAGAGCAAAAGGTCTGCCTCTTCCAGCTCAAGTCTTGGAGGAGCGAGGGGGCAAAGCGGGTCGTGAGAAGGGAGTCCAATTCAGATATCACAGCAAGTGCTCCATTCTTTGGGACCACTGGTAGTGACCAGGGTGTCCAATTCAGATACCAGCAAGAATTCTGACATTCATAGGATGATAGGAAGGCTTGGGGAGGTGCTTGTATGTTGGACTATGCAGTAAAACAGAATTGGTCCATGAATCAAAAACTAAAAACGAGTGGACTAAACCAACACATAGCCAGTCGGCATTGCCTCAGCTGATTTCCACGCGAATGACAATCCCTGTTTTTTGTGTCTTGTACTTTGGGACATACTTGTGTTGCTCATTATTCCATTTGGTGACGTTAATGGTTGGCTGCCATTGGCGTACTTTTTTCTTTTTTGCTGAGTGAGGACGCCGCCCGGCTGGGCTCGGCCCAGCCGGTTGGGCCCGGGGGGCCCGCCCGGGTAAACCGGGCAGGCCAAAAAACCTCCCAGAATGTTTTTTATTTTTATTTTTGAAACCGGGATTGTTCTGCGCTCGCCGAGAGG